GAGGCAAAAAAAGATTCGAAGCTCTGGTAAAGAAATACGAAAGGCGGGAAAAGCGAAGGATGTAGTATGTCGGGCGCAAGTGCCGAGTTGGTAGCAATATAAAAGAACGTAATACTTGCGTATACATTTCTCGAAAGGATAGTAGTGGTCTTTTGTAGAGTACTGTACATAGTGGAAGAAGACAGGCACGGAGAAGTACGGCCGGAATTGTTGCGTCATGTTACAAAACTCATTTTTGCGCACTATCAGCCTTTGAGAGAACATGTCACTCTGCATAACAGGTAGGCCACAGCGCTGTGGCAACAGACTTCAATGGATACGATTATCATCAGACTATCATTGGCGAGAATCCCCCACCAGTTGCGAGCACAATCCTTAGTAATGCTGCCAAGTGCGACTACAGATCCCTGCATGGGCCTCGGACAGCCCACTAAAGCAGTTCGCATCTCAGTCATCTCCGCCCTATTGTCCACTGGCTTATATAACTTTCCCATGTCTGCCCCTCCCAATGTTAGACACGGTTCCTCCAGACTCGACTCGGTATGATGGCGCACATGGCTAGGGTACGGGCGGGTCCCCAAACATTGCGAAGAGTCGCTGGCCGTGGCGAACTATCTGCGCGATCGCCCATCTCCGCCATACGGACAAGATGTATTGCGACAAATACAGAACCACGGGAGCCAGTTTCCGAGTTCCTCCCAGGCATCTCCCCAGTACCGACACCGCAGCGATCGGGCGGTGAGGACCGGAGAGCAGCAATCAAGAATGCGAAGCCTTTCTCTGCCTTTTTGACCGATACGTTCAACCGGCAGCATGACTATCTGCGCATCAGCATCACAGAGCGCTGCAATCTGCGATGTCTGTATTGCATGCCCGAAGGTGTGCCATGAACATGACTCGACAAAAAATTTGGCTGACGAGGAACAGAGGGCGTTCCGCTATCGCCGTCCGCCAACATGCTGACCACACCCGAAATCTTCTACCTCTCGTCGCTATTTGTGTCGCAAGGCGTGACCAAGATCCGCCTTACTGGGGGCGAACCCACCGTTCGCCGCGACATAGTGCCCCTCATGCAGCAAATCGGTAGTCTGCGCCCCAAAGGCCTGCGCGAGCTCGCCCTTACCACCAACGGCATATCGCTGCACCGGAAACTCGACGCCATGGTCGAGGCTGGTTTGACAGGCGTCAATCTAAGTCTAGACACCCTGGATCCGTTCCAGTTCCAGATTATGACGAGGCGGAAAGGCTTCGATGCAGTGATGAAGTCGATCGACCGCATACTCGAGATGAACAAGTTGGGAGCAAATGTGAAACTCAAGGTCAACTGTGTTGTAATGCGTGGCTTAAATGAGCGCGAGATCCTGCCCTTTGTCGAGATGGGCCGCGAGAAAGACATCGAAGTTCGCTTCATCGAATACATGCCCTTTGGCGGTAACAAATGGAGTGAGAACAAGATGATCAGCTTCCAAGAAATGCTGGATATCATCAGGACAAAATACCCAAGACTCAGGCCGGTTCCTGGCCACAAGAACGACACTAGCAAGACGTACGAAGTTCCTGGCTTTGTAGGCAAGGTTGGCTTCATTACAAGCATGACCAACGATTTTTGCGGTTCTTGTAATCGACTGCGCATAACAAGTGACGGCAATCTGAAGGTGTGCCTACATGGAAACGCCGAGGTATCATTGCGCGATGTACTGCGGCAGGGTAACAACGGTGAACCCATCGATCAAGAAGCATTCGAACGTATCAGGCAAATCGAAATGGACCGTCATGAGGGCCGTCTGAGCAATGAAACTATACTTGGCTGGGGCCAGCGAGAACGCGAATTGCTCGAAGTTGTAGGAGCAGCTGTAAAGCGCAAAGCAGAAAAGCACGCTGATCTGGAAGATCTCGCCAGCATGGAGAACAGGCCCATGATCTTGATTGGTGGGTGATTGTGGTCCCTTTTTCCTCTTCTTAATCATGTCAGATCGCTTGGAGGCTTGTTGCGATATGACGGCCGTTGCATTAATGGCGTTTTGAGCGTTCTCCTTCATTGTGAGTCTATATTATCGTCTGGAGCATCATCGTTCCCGATTACATACTCGAATGATATACCCTTTTATGCTTGCATACCATCTTTGTGTGTATGTGTGTGATGTGCATTACTGACTAAATGTAGATGAAAAGCCATTGGCAGACTTAGGTTCATGGCGCCCGTCTCCTCTACAAGCCCTGCGTTCGGGTGCAAAGAGTTCCCATATATTCCCTCCAACGTCAAATATTCTTCAATCCTCAATGCTGCGTCTGCATTTCACAACGTTGCAGTCCGCAAACACTGTTCGAGCCTTCTCCACTTCCAAACCGCTTGCAGAGAAGCCCCGGCGTAAAAACCCATCGGTTAGGGTATGGACCAAGCATGGTGTTCAATACGAAGAAATGGTGCAATCTGTTGCTCGGTTCGGTCCCCAAAGAGCCACTCTACCACCAAACCTTGAGGAAGTGCGACAGAAGTATGGTTTGACCGATAAAAAGTATGACTCTTACTGGAGAATGGTTGCGGACGCGAAGCTCCAGTCCGGCAGTGGTCACAGCTTCAGATATCTTAACAAAAAAGCCCATAGTCAGCTGCTATCCATACTTCAGGGATCAGAGGAAGTGAGCCACAAACAGCTGATGCATGACGCTCAATCGATTGCCGATCGAACACAACAATATATAGCACAAAACCGTGAGGTTATGATGCTGCAACGCCAGAAACAAGATATGATTGAACTCAAAGCCTTTTTAGAGGAGATCAGGATACCATCCGAGATCCAGAGGGCATTGAAGAACACCGAGGATAAGATTTATGAGTTGCAGGATCGCATAATACAGCGCAACCGGACGAAGCCGGTCAAACCGGGCAAAAAGTGGGGCGCAGTGTCAACAGACTCTATTAGGCAGTTGCAAGAGCTTGACGATATTGACCGACTGCTTGATGCCCATAAGCAACAAGTCAACGAAATTCGCGAACAAGCTCAAAAACTGGAAAAAATCAGGACACGAAAGGAAGAGATTTTGGCGGAGAAGCGTCTGCTACTGAAGCAGCTTGAAGAGCACGAGAATGAAGAGCGGGAGGCTAAGAGAATTCCCATACCCGTGGATACCAATGATCAGAAGAACCAGCCGACTTCGAAGAGTTTGGACTCTATACTCGATCAAGCAATGAAGAGGGTTGGCAAGGGCTGGGAGGAGCCAAAGCTACAAAGTACTGATCTTGATTCCGAGAGCATAAGAGCAACAGCACCGGTAAACGAGGGTACCGCTATACAACTTCGGAAGCCTGGAATAGGTTCAGTATCTATATTGACTCGATCAAAGTCCGAAGATAAAGACCAAGACATAAATGGCAACGACATGAATCCGATCACTTCCACTGCATCCAGGCCGAGTGATAGCCTGCATTTGCAGGTTCCCACTGCAGGATTTATTCCTATTGACGAGAATCTCATTGTCACGTTTGAGGGTTCGGTCCCAGAACTCCAATCCTATGTGTTCGAAATGGCTCAGCGCCTCAAAAGCTCGTATCCGCGTATCGACACGCTGCCATACAATGTGTGGACCAGTCAGAACAAAGCGACATTGCAGACGTGGCTGAAGATTATGGTGAAGAAGTGGCAGACGCGATTCGACACCATTGGCCAGGTAGAGAAAGACATCATGGATGGACGTATTCAAGCTGTGCTTGATCGAATGGTTCGCGATCACGATCTCAGCAACGAAGCTGCAGAACGAATGGCAGTGCGTTGGCACCAAGTCTTCGCGAATAGAGGCAAAATGCATGGAGATGCAGAGGGATCGATGAACTGGGATGAGTTTCAAGCCGAAGGCCTTGGATTCTTGACCAACGAGACGGAGTCTGAGGTACCATCACAACAGGGACAAGCAGAAGCCAGGACGATACCAGCAACGCTCTCAAGCACGAATAAGAGACCAAGTCTACACGAAGATTTGGGAAGCCAGATTTCTCATGAATCCACTACGCGCAAAATGTACTCGACCTCTTCGCGGTCAACACCACCAGCTCACGACCTCACATTGCAGCCAAAAGAGAAGGAAAAGGACGACGAGAAAGAATCACCAGCACCATACCTACCACACCTTACCCCCTCGGGATCCGCACACATGGTATCTGTGTCTACAAAACAACACACCATCCGCACCGCCATCGCCATCGGCTCAGTCCACTTCACAAACCCAACCCCTCTCTCCCTCATCCGCTCCAACACCGCTAAAAAGGGCGACGTCCTAGGCGTATCCCGCATAGCTGGCATCATGGCCGCGAAAAAATGCCCAGACCTAATACCCCTGTGTCACCCCATCCCACTCACACACGTCAGCGTCGAACTTGCTCCTTTCTCCGACGGACACGGAGGCGTAAAAATCGAAGCCAAAGTCCAGTGTACGGGGCAGACAGGCGTGGAAATGGAAGCGCTGACGGCGGTCATGGGCGCGGCACTGAGTGTGGTTGATATGTGCAAGGCGGTGGATAGGTTTCAGAGGGTGGATGGGGTGAGAGTGGTGTTTAAGGAGGGGGGAAAGAGTGGGGTGTGGAGGGAGGAGGGGTGGAAGAGTTGGCAGGAGTAGATGAGCTAGAGGGTGGTTTAGGTGAAAAGTTTTTTTATCGATGCCGATGTTTGGTATCCTTGGGATGCGTATGTATGGGGCTGCTAGGGGCAGCACGAATGTCTAGACTACTCCCTCTGTAGCCATGTAGAAATATTGACAGTACGTGATAGAGTCTCTCTCACCTCATCTTAATGCAAAACCCATGCTGTGGACTCACTTACCTATCGAGGTTTCACCTCTCACCGCTCAGGTACCATCTCACCCACATATACGTTGGCAGGATTCTAATATGCTCTAGTTTCACATACAACCAAACCTCAGCACCTATTGTGATTTACACTCTCAAGGCTTCTATCGCCGATCTCGTATAACTTACTATTCTGCAAAATCCTGGTCTTTCAGTAGCCATGACCTCATCAGTTACCTCCCTTGATGAGCAGGGCCCGATAACCTGGCTAATACAGTCGTTTACGGTCAGCCACGATGTCAAATCCTCAGGGCCATCGCAGCTGGTGCTTGATCGTGCTAACTCCGAGTTTGGACTTGTGTACCAGACCGAGCCTGGTGTTGCCGTGATGGCACAGTTTCCGGATACCGAGGAGCCAGTCTTCTTCCAGGTATCTAAAGCGCGTGCAGTCTGCACTCGTTTCAATAACTCATGCAAGAAAGTTTGTATACTCATGCCACACATGCAAATCGACCTGTACTTCACGACTAGTGCGGACGCCGGGGACTTTGTACACGCGCTTGGGCGGATTGCCACCATGGTTGGCAATTCTTACTTTGAAGTACATGAAGCTGCTTCGTATGTATCGCCTTTTCTACCCGTACTCGAGCAATGTTGATTCAATTGCATAGCAATGCTGCACTGGCCCGTACCGACTTCAACATGGAGAAGGAGGGCTATACCAACCAGAAATGTCAGTTGTGGGTAGCAGCTCCGAACGAGAACACATCAGAATGGGCCCGGTAAATACTTCAAGCAGAAATCTCAGACTATAGGCTAACAGCCACAGTATCTACAAGACTGGAAAATGTACCGACTTCACCATCATCGCTGCCGGTAGGGTATTTCAAGCTCATCGCGTCTTGTAAGCATCATGTCCCTTATTTTGTCGATGTAGCTGACACGGCAGCTAGGCTCTGCACACGATCGCTGTACTTCAACGCGGTTTGCGATGGATGCTTCACAGTAAGAGACCTGTGTGCGACCTACAAGGCACCTGAGCCCTGCTAACGTTCTGAAGGAAACCAGCCAACGCTCTATCACACTGCCTGAGGACAGCCAGACCGTGAGCACAATGCTCAAGGAGATATATGGAGTGTCCAACCCGACTACGGGATCAATCTTCAGCAATTTTGCGCTCAGAAACGGATTTGAGAAAGATTGTATCATGCGCAATTTGCTGGCCCTCTTCATCGCATGCGACAAGGTCAGGCTCCCTCCATGATTTACATGATTTACAGTTCTGACAATGTGCGCAGTATAACCTCGAATCAATCAAGCAGAAAGTCTCCAAGACAATCATTGACCGCATTCCCTTCATTCACAATCCTCTGACTATTGTCTATCTGGCTGCAGAGATCTATGACGATGCCGGCCCAGAATTGGATCATGGTCTCCGCAACGCAATCATCCTGCAGCTGCACATTCGCCTGCCAGCCATCATGGAAGACAAGGATGCCTGGAACTATTACTCGGAGAATAAGGCTGTACTGAAAGCACTGCATTCGTACCAGTGCGGGATGCAAGATATAATGAGATCTTCGGGGATCTTTACTCCCCCCGCGAGTCCACACAAAAAGTGAACGAGGATGCCTATGTCGTGGTCGCGAAGTTCGATATCAGGATACTTTTGAGCAAGGGATTTTTCTCATGGGTCATTATGGAGGAACACAAAGAAGTAGTTTCTAGGGGTCATGCTACTCGTTGCCCTTGTTAAATAAAATATACGTACTACATGCATGGGAAGACACGGTCACGTGCAGCCGCGTCGCGCTAACAATGCTTGCGGGCTCCGCGTCACCCCACGACCGCATAGCAGCATGTGAAACGAGCCCTCCGCGCGTCAGCACCTGTTCAATGGCCCCCGATGTAGCCTCCATGACATCGACGCCCACCACCCCCGCACTCAAGAACTCACAGAAACCGCCTACGGGCCCCAACGTCCTCGAGGTTGTGCTCGGCTCGCTGCTGATCAAGCCATGGTACCCGTCTTTTTACCCAGAAGAGCTTGTGGGAAGACGCGTCGAACGGCTCTATGTGTGCCAGTGGTGCTTCAAGTATAGCAAGGAACTCGTTGGCTTCTTGGGCCATCTGGTACGTCTGAAGGGCTTTTGTAGTTCATAAGGACCGGTTGAGCTGATACGCCCCAGAAAGCATGTCCCCTTCGCAACACTCCACCACCGGGCATTAACGTCTACACAAAAGACAACTATTCCCTGTACGAGATCGATGGCGAGAAGAATAAGCTTTATGCGCAGAACCTATCGCTCTTTGCGAAGCTCTTCCTCGACACCAAATCGGTCTTCTACGACGTCACGACCTTCTTGTACTATCTTCTAGTTGCGCACAATCCCACACCTAGCATACCGAACACCAGTCTTGACGAAGAGACTCCGTCAGGTGGAGTCGGCGCGCAGGGACAGGTCGTGGGCTTCTTCAGCAAGGAGAAGATGAGTTGGGACAACAATAACCTAGCATGTATATTAGTCTTCCCACCATGGCAGAAGCAAGGATTGGGCCAGCTATTGATGGGCGCAAGCTACGAAATGAGTAGGCGAGAAGAGAGGTTGGGTGGTCCTGAGAAGCGTAAGCCATTTCTGGTCTGTCCTCTTATACACCGACTAGTGCTAACATCACGACAGCGCTGTCCGATCTCGGTCGCATTGCTTACAACCACTATTGGTCACAAACACTTGCTCGTACCCTCCTCTCATGTCCGTCCAAGAAGACACTCACCGTGCAAGAACTTCGCGAAAAGACATACATTGTACCTGAGGACATCATTGCAACCTTGCAGATGATGGACGTCCTCGAACAGAAGAAGAAGGGCGGCGCAGACGCTGTAATCAACAAGGCAAAAGTCAGAGCATGGGCAGATAAGCATAAGGTAGATGTTAAAAGCTGCCCGGTGGACCCTGATGCGTTCATTGCACGGGAAGTAAGCAGGGGTGGCAGTGAAGAGTCTTGATGCTCCACGACAAAGAGAATACAAGTACAGGCATATGATACCCGGATCTCAATGGTTCTATAGAGTTCCAATATAACGATATGAAGATCTTTGTTGGAAACATCTTATGACAAAATGATACTAACGTGCCAACTTTGTTACATAGCGCTCATTCCCATATGTTGTTACATTCTATTGAAATCGCCCGCTGTCCTTTCCCATAAAACTGCACTGCCATCAAATCACGTGCCAGATGGAGTTGGACATGTCTTATTTTGTCAGCATTCTATCCATCCATAGATAGAGGGACTGCTTCGTCGTTCATACGCTAGTGGGTACTTAGCGCGGCACGTGAACACCCGTTTTCGTGAACGCGCCGCGTCTTCGAACTACTTACATCCACTCATTGGTATACGTTTTCAAAATGGTCAGCAAAACCGAGCAACGGGACTTTCATCACCCATACACGCCCTATGATATACAAAATGAGTTCATGGGCGCTGTGTACGAATGTTTAGAAAATGGCCAGGTCGGCATCTTTGAATCACCGACCGGGACAGGCAAGTCACTGAGCCTGATATGCGGCTCCTTGACATGGTTGAGAGACCACAAAAGGAGGACTTTTGAAGAAGGATTTGCAGCCGATACAGCGAATAGCGAAGAGCCATCGTGGATCGTCGAGCATGCGCAAAAGCAACGTAAGCAAGAAGCACTTCGTCGCAAACAAGAGTTGAATGAACGCATTGCAAAAATCAAAGCAAAAGAGAAGCGTGCAAAAGAGCGCTATGAGAATGGCGAGTCAAGTTACAAGAGACGGAAGGTTGTGTCGGGTGAAACGAACGATGACGATGAAGCACAATTCGTGCTTGATGACTATGAAAGCGACCAGGAATCTCAAAAGCGGGCAAGAGGCGGTACCTTTAATGAGTCTGGACTATCGGCAGAAACACAGGCATTGATGGCATCGTTGGGGTATGCTGACGATGCTCCGAAGAACGACGATGGGGAGGTGCCTGACGAGACAAAGATATTTTTCTGTTCCCGCACACACTCTCAACTGATGCAGTTTTCGAGTGAATTGGGTCGGGTCAAGATGCCGCCTGCTATTGCTCTAGATGATGATACGAACGTCGCTGATATAGATTCCCTTGTGGAAGATGTCAAACACCTTACACTCGGATCAAGGAAGAATCTATGTATTAATGATAAAGTCAAGAACCTCGGAAGCGCCACTGCTATCAACGAACGATGCCTAGAGCTGCAACAGAATAGCAGCACCGAAAGCCGATGCTCACATATGCCGAGTAAAGAAAGCGAACCTCTAATCAACAACTTCCGTGATCATGCGTTTGCAAAGATCAGAGACATTGAGGATCTCGGATCGCTGGGCAAGAAGCTGGGGGTATGTCCCTATTATGCTTCAAGACCAGCGACGAAGTACTGCGAGGTGAGCTCGGCTTTGCAGCAATTCAACATATGTCTATGTACTAACGAGCCTAGATTGTAACCTTGCCGTATCCATTGCTTTTACAACGTACTGCTCGCGAGGCACTTGGGCTATCTCTTAAAGATCATGTCGTCATTATTGATGAAGCGCACAACTTGATGGATGCTATAGTAGGCATTTACTCCGTTTCCGTAACGCTCGGCCAAGTTCAACAAGCGCGCGCCCAGCTTACAGCCTATCTTCAAAAGTTTCGCAACAAGCTAAAAGGGAAGAATCGAGTCTACGTTGCCCAGACAGTCAGGATCCTGGATTCGATCCTTGCATATTTGCAGTCTATCGACGCCGATCCAAAGGCAACTGACGGCCTGGTTGACATGGTGTCTATAATGTCCGGAAAGGGTGTCGACCAGATCAATGTTTTCAAGCTCAATGCATACCTCCAAGAAAGCAGACTTGCTCGAAAGGTTGACGGGTATACCGCGTACGCCGAGCAAACAGTCGATGAGTCGACAAAGCAAGTGTCCAAGAAGAGACCCCGTCACAGTGTTCCTGTACTCATGCATGTACAAGCTTTTCTGCTGTCCTTAATGAACCCTTCTGCGGAAGGCCGATTCTTCTACTCAAAGGAGGATAGCGTAACAACGCTGCGATACATGCTTCTCGACCCTACATTTCATTTCAAAGATATCGTTGAAGAAGCAAGAGCAGTAGTACTTGCGGGCGGTACAATGTCCCCAATGAGCGACTATGAGCAACATCTGCTATCATATCTGGACCCTTCGAAGATCAAAACGCTGTCCTGCGGGCATGTCATACCGCCTTCGAACCTGCTCGCTGTACCCGTCGTACGAGCGACTAGTGGTGCCGAGTTCGACTTTACTTTTGAAAACCGCAACAAAGAAAAGACCATGGTTGATCTCGGGGTCGCTATTTCGGCTTTTGCGCGAGACATACCCGATGGAGTGGTGGTTTTCTTCCCCAGCTACTCGTATCTGGACACCTGTATCGCGGCGTGGAAGCGCCTGAAGCCATCACAATCAAACATTACCCTTTGGGATACTTTCAAAAACAGCAAGCCGGTGTTTTTGGAGCAGCGCAGTCAACAACAGAATATAGACACGTCATCGGCGGTCAAGGAGGCAGCTGTCGACTCGGTTCTCAATGCTTACAGTGCGGCAATCGCATCTGGTAACGGCCGAGGTGCGCTGCTCTTTGCCGTCATTGGTGGAACGCTATCCGAGGGCATCAACTTCAGTGACGCACTGGGCCGAGGTGTTGTCGTCGTTGGTCTTCCATTTCCGAATGCGCATTCAGCGGAGTGGAAAGCAAAGATGCAGTATATCGCTGCCAAAGAAGCAAAAAACGGTGGTGACGGCAAGGCAGCAGCACGCGAGTTTTACGAGAACGCATGTATGCGCTCTGTGAATCAATGTGTGGGACGGGCTATCAGACATAAAGGTGATTATGCGGCCATTTTGATGTTGGACAGACGGTATGGGAGCAAGCGGATACAGGATAAGCTACCCAAGTGGATTAGGGGTAGTCTGACTGGTGGGCTGGGCGTGAAGGACATGGAGGGGAAGTTGGTTAGATTCTTTGCAGAGAAGAAATAAAGGTCAGACTATGTGTTCGATGAGACAGTATTGTAGAATTCACAACAGTCGACGTATTGCTATGTTCTGCGCTTGTGAAAGATGGTGGGGCTATTCAGTGCTCTATTCGGCTTAGCTCGACGCGAGCACCGTCTCACTTCGTGAACGCGTGTCTTCATGGACTACAGTTCAGATTCCATTCTTCAAAATCTTCACAGAACATCGCCTTCGCGATGCTTGCATTCATATAACCCATGTTTCTATAAATAATGCGATGAAACTCTAGTGTGGACAGTTTGCAGTGAACCATCTCAACTTCAGACCGGGGCAGGCATAAGGGAAATACAAGAGGAGGAAAGCTGTGGTACATCGGAATAGCGGAGGACTAAATCGACCCTCAACATGGCGTCTTCGCGGAGTCGAGATGCCGAAAACAGGGGCGCATATACGACTGTTGCACAAACCGAGGATGCAAGCGCAAGGTTGACTGTTCACGGCAAAATTGCAGATGAGGGCTCAGAGGACACAGGTCTCGAACCGCCCGTTCATATCGGAGCTGTTCCCACATCAGAAGACGACCTCTTTCTTCCGCGGGTAGCTGACACTCTTCCTCGCGGCGCCTTCTTGGTCGCTATCGTGGAGCTATGTGAGCGCTTTGCCTACTATGGTTTATCAGGACCATTCCAAAACTACATCGCCAACGGATACAACGACGCCAACGGTCTTCCTGGAGCTCTTGGCCTAAAACAGTCAGGCGCTACTGCAATGACCAATTTTTTCCAGTTCTGGTGCTATTTAACGCCCTTGTTCGGGGCCATTATTGCGGACCAGTATCTCGGCAAGTACGCAACTATCAAATGGTTCAGTCTGATTTACATGGGCGGGATCACGATTCTCTTTTTGACGAGCTTGCCGTGGGCTATCCGGAGTGGGGCCGCTTTCCCCGGTCTTGTTGTTGCCATGTTAATCATTGGACTCGGTACGGGTGGTATCAAAAGTAATGTGTCACCATTGATCGCTGAGCAAGTTCGGTCCAACAGGCCTTTTGTCAAAACTCTGCCAAGTGGGAAAAAAGTCGTTGTCGACCCAGAGCTCACGGTGCAGAGGATCTACATGGTATTCTACATGTGCATAAACGTTGGTTCGATATCTGCAATCGCAACCACAATGCTGGAGTTGCATGTTGGTTTCTGGAGCGCATACCTTTTACCGCTGATCATGTTTTGCGTCGGTTACGTGATACTAGTAAGAGGGAAGAAGCAATACATCATCAAACCGCCTCAAGGTGGTGTTATTGGTAACTGCTTCCGGGCTCTGTACATTGCCGCAAGGAATGGCGCCGACCTTAACAAAGCGAAAGCCTCGGCCCAAGGACATGGAAGACTCAAGTCAAGAGTGACCTGGGACGATAAGTTTGTCGAAGAGCTGAAGACAGCACTGGTGGCATGTAAAGTTTTCTTGTTCTTTCCCATCTATTGGGTCACGTTCTCGCAGATGTTGAACAACTTTATATCGCAAGCTGGACAGATGAAGCTACATGGTCTTCCTAACGACATTCTGCCCAATATCGATCCCATCACGATCATCATACTAATTCCACTTATGGACCGCTTCATCTACCCATTCATCCGTACCCGTCTGCATCTTGCCTTCCAGCCGATAACGCGCATTTCGCTTGGCTTCTTGGTAGCTGCACTCGCTATGTTGTACGCTGGTATCCTCCAAACATACATCTACGCAGCACCTCCATGCTATTATAGCCCTTCGAACTGCAACGCGGGCAAAATCGGGGAGGGAAGGTTCAAACCAAACGAAATTCACGTTGCGTGGCAAGCACCAGCATATGTGCTTGTCGCTCTTAGCGAAATTCTCGCCAGTATCACGGGATTGGAGCTGGCGTATGCGAAAGCGCCAGAGAATATGAAGAGCTTTATCATGGGCTTGTTTCTTCTTACAAACGCCGGTGGCAGTGTATTAGGCATACTCATTGCACCCCTGGCAAGAGACCCTCATCAGCAGTGGCTGTATTTTGGCTTGGCAAGCGCTGCTGCAGTTACCGGCATTATCTTTTACCGGATGTTCAAGAATATCGATGACAGCCCCATTAAAGAAGTACAAAATGCTGAAGAATACGAAATGACGCGAAGATTGAGTCCAGACGATGAAGAATATTACAGCGACGATGGAGGAGTTGCAGATCATTCCACACGAGCCTGAAATACGAACGGGTGAAAGAAAACTGGACACGTAGTACCTTGTCTATGGAAGCATACCTGTCGGTTTCCTATAGCACCCACTCACGACTCAATTCCCGAGCGATATCGATGTGGATTAAAGCACGGGAGCAGGGTCTTGCGCATCAAACAATCAGGTTGAGGCATAAACGACAATGCATCCGAGCCCGATCTTACCGATGTTGTTCGGCTCTGCGCTGTCTCTTCTTTCATTGGACCCACCGTTCGCGGGGTGCAGTGAAGGACGACCAGGCTGACCAACAGGATTGTCGTATCTTGAGTGCTGAAATCCATCGTAGGACGGACAACTCAGAAGTGCATATACACTCTTCGAATCTGGCAATCTGACAGCGCATATGTTCGAGCCTCATTTTTGAAGTCTATGATATATGGAGCTTGCTAAACGGGCCTTTTGGAGCCAAAAGCAAGTGTCGCTTTGAGGCTAGTACACCATGTCAATCAGCGACAACTCCGCCCTCGGCGTGTCGCATGAGCAAGATGGAACGGGTGAATACTTGCATGGTTTTGGAGACCTGACCGTTAGCGCGGAGGAGAAGTCGTAAGTTCATCTGAGCTATACACAGCAACAGGGAGCTAACAATCAACCTTCATAGTCCCTATGCCTCTACACACATAACTGTGTTAGAAGTAGGACCCGAAGCAGTTCGCTTTCTAGTCCACGAGAGCGTCTTGAGCCGAAGCGAAGTGCTTGCAAGATCCTATAACCCATCTTTCATCAAGCAATCCGTACCCCTACCGGAGCTCGACCTAGCAACTGCGCACACTCTGGTACATTATCTGTACACCGGTAAATACCAGACTCTTAGCGTACATGCCGGTTCGGACAAGATCATTCCCGAAAGCTATAAGCTTAGTGTATGCGTGTATTGCGCCGCTGTACGCTACGGGCTACCAGGCCTTGCAGAGCTTGCACAAACCAAGATCAAATCATTTGGAGAAGATGTGACCATCTTTGACATGCTTGCAGTTGCAAGACAACATGCATTTCCGTTGCTGCCCGAGGACGATGCGTGGTATCCAGCATATATTGAAGATGCGCTCCACAATGCTGTGACCGAAGACCCAAACCCGTTTCGAAAACCGGACTTCATCACGACAGTTGAGGGTAGCAGCAGACTGCTGCAACTCGTCTGGAAGACCATGATGAGCAATTACGTTCCAAAGCCGGTGACGCCTGCATCAACGCCGATAGTCAAGGCTGAGAATATCACCGCTCGTACACCTGAGCTTGTCGCTGAGATTTCTGAGTCGCATGAGAATGTAGACTATGTAATTGTTATCGAGAGTGAGGATGCCAGCAACAGCAAACCAGAGGTTGTAGCAGAACATCGGCCAATTGTTGAAGAGCCTACCAAGAATCCACTCGTTGCGGAGAGTGTCCAAGATGTCTCTGGTGAAGTGGGAGCCACCGCGTCCAACCCACAACTCCTTGCTACGGCTGAGCCATTCTCGGATGACGAGTTCATGTTCGGCATAGAACGGCGGCAGATGCGCAAGAAAGCAGAGCAAGAAGCGCCAATCACCGCATCTCCAAAGGAAGAACCGAAGATGACCGATCTTGTTCGTACCGACTCTGTGACACAGCTTGAACAGATCGCGGGCGCATCTGATCCCAAGACTACAGCCGGAAACGATGCGAGTACGGAAACTGGGCAGGCATCAGCTAGTGCAAGTGAAGTGGTACCCGTGAAGAAAGGCAAGAAGCCAAAAAAGATGAAAAGCTCAAAGAAATCGGCTGTTCAGGCTGAGCCGGTGGTAGCAAGTGCAGCGTAGGCGGCTTTTCCGTGGTAGTATGCATCTACTACTGGAATTGGTCTTGGGTAGATAGCGCATATAGGCTGTTCCATCCACAGATCAAATCACTCATTATTCCAGTACAACTCCGTATTTCAAATAGGTTTAACGAATAAGCGATGACGCAAGCCCGTACTCCCGTAAGCACAACGTAATCTCTCGTATAAGCATAAAAGGTCTCGTGTCATCAAGACCCTGTGCGGCAACAATGATGCCCGAACGTGGTCTATAGCACTATAAACTGCGACTGTTAAGTACATCAAAAGCTAGGTAGAACGCTCAGAGCAGTGCGCATGGATCGCCACACTCATGTGGCATATTCTCGGCATCCGGCAGTCGAGTGAATTGCGATCGTCTATGCTTTGACATTTAATGCTTGCCCATCTAGAACCTTACCTTGCACCGTCCACTTTACCACACTACTTCCCAGCCCGCCTTTTTTTTTGGCACCACTTAACCAACTTTTTTTTTACATTCCCGATTTCTAACAGCTGGAAAAAAGAAAAAGAAAAAGAAACAAATATACATATATGCATGGAGAAGCTGTTAGAGTATGTGGGGTACGTAGCTTTAAAGCGGGTGGTATGATGTAAGGACCCAAAAAGAATAGCCGGCACGTAGCAATGGGATGAAAGCTTGGTCGTGTTGCCTTTGCATGGGGGTTTGTCCGGGCGGGCCGATCGCGAAATGCGACAACGCGGTACTACGGGATTTGCCCAGTAAGATGGCCCAAATTTCCTGACCCCTTTCTTCTATCTGGGTTCATCTATGAGCGAATAATGTCTTGTTTAATGGCAAGTGTTTTGTTGCGTCGGGGCGCTTATAGTGTTACGACAGGGGATTGTTTAGAGACGGTTGTTTCTGTTTGTAAGTACGTTAATGATAGTGGAATTACGGGGGGCGAAGAGGGGCCAGAATGATGCGGATGCTAAAGGAGGCTAGTAGACCAGATGCTGAATAGAGTTTGCTACACTATCCTGTCCCGTGTTAGTTGCGATAGCTTCCTTGCTGGCGACCCACACTTGAAAGATGTGAATATGTCAATATGCTACTATGCCTACAACAGCAAACGTACCTGTCCACATTTCTTTGGGACAAAAGCCGTTCCATACCATTTCCTCAACGTACCCGAAAAGAGGTCGAGATATTCTTTGCGTATCGCCCAACTCAGCGTAGCGTAGCAGACTAATTTTTAGTCGTACCTTCATATGACGGCATTTTACGATGTTACTACTAGCCCAACCTCCATCGTCGCCCGCCTTATTTCCAAGCCCCCATCGTCATATCCATGAATAGCCACGCTGTGGAGGCTGTGGCGTTAGGGTCTCTGTGGAAAACGACTCAATATCCTTGTGTCATGTCGATAAGCGATCAATGCACTGACGCTTCCATCCGACAAGGCAAAGTGCCCGCTCGCCGGACTTTAAATTAAGCATTAGGCACGGACTCTGTCGTACCAAAAAGGGTGCCATGGTATCGTTGCTTTTCGTATTTCGGGGTCGCAGCTTCAACACTCTCGTTGCAAATTTGCTGCAAAAGCTGGTAACGATGTAGTACCGTGCTTCCTGCTTTCCTTTTTGCCTCTCTCTCCCCCTCCCCCCGGTCCCGAGGGAAGGCGGTCCGGGTTTAGCGCCGGATGGGAAAGTTGCTTAAAGAGAGCCCTCTTGGCCTTTGTAAGTGACAGATATAGCAACTTCAGCGTGCTAAAGCTATAATCACATCCTTACTTCTTAATTTTATAATAATGGCGATTCATACTTGGAATGCGGTGGTTGCCGCCGCCTTATTGGTTGGCTCCGCCACTGCTTCGCAATGTCCTGGCGGCGAGTGGGATGTCATCGTTGTTGGTAAGACTCGGAACTTGTACTTTGACTTTTGGCGACGAAACTGACAAGTTGTAGGCTCCGGACCAGCTGGTATCGTTGCAGCAGACCGTATGAGTGAGGCGGGAAAGAGGACTATTCTCCTGGAGCAAGGAGGCCCATCATACTACGTTACCGGTGGTCGTACACGGCCGGACTGGCTGGAGGGCACAGAACTCAGCCGTGTCGATGTCCCAGGCCTGTACAAGACTATTTTCTCAAACCCCGGCCAGGGCTTGGTGTGCCCATCTAATGTCGTCAACGCCTTCCAGGGCTGCACTGTTGGAGGTAACACTGCCATCAATGCTGGTCTTTTCTTCCAGCCACCCGCCAGCGATTGGGACAAGTATTTCCCAGAAGGCTGGAAGAACAAGGATATGCAAGGTGCCATTCGAAAGGTCAGGGAAACCCAGCCAAGTACCGACAGCCCTTCATTGGACGGACAACGATACCTTCAGAGCGGCTATGAGGCTGCCAAGAAGTGGCTCGTCAATGGAGCCGGATATGCCGACGTTGGTCTGAATGACGGCCCTGAAGAACATTCCAAAAACAAGGTCTTTGGCCATCCCATATGGAACTACGAGGGAGGTCAGAGGAGTGGACCAGTAAAGACCTACCTCCAGCAAGCTCTCAAGCGATCGAACTTTGCCTTCAGGACCGGAACAAAGGTTCTGCGCGTTCGTCGTGACGGTGACGTTGCAACCGGTGTCGATGTTGAGGTTGAGGGTACCAACAACACCTGCATCTGCCTCAAGCAAGGCGGTGTAGTCATCTCATCAGCAGGTGCGCTCTTGAGCCCCCAGCTCCTGATGTGGTCCGGTATTGGTAACGCAACTCTTTTGGAGGGCCTTGCAAAGAACGGTCAGGTCACAGTCCCATCTCAGGACTGGATCAACAACACCGCAGTCGGCGACAAGGTGTTCGACAACCCGAATACCTTCATTGAGCTCCACGACGAGTCCGTTGAATCTTTCGTCTACGATTACTCTAACCCACCACCAATAGATGTTGAGATGTACCTAAAGAACCGCTCTGGACCATATACTTTTGCCTCGCAAACAAGTGCTTTCTGGGACTACATCCAACAAGGCGAAGACCTCGTTGGTTGCCAAGGCACTATTGACTCTTCGGGAGCTTTCGACTATGGAAACGACAACAATACCATCACCCTCAACGTTTACGGTACATCTGGTCTTCGCTCCTTCGGTCGTGTCAGCCTCGACGACAAGGGCATCGCTCTGCCATCATCCAACTTCTTCGCTGACCCCCGCGACGTTAAGGCGATTGCGACCTTCATTCACAACATCTTCCAAGCCCTCCCAGAAACTCTCACGCCCCTCAACATTGCGAAGAACTCGACTGAAGACGAAATTGAGGCCTGGTTGAAGACCCCAAGCCAGTACACGCTTGGCAATGTGCAGCACTGGAGCAGCAGCTGCAGAATGGGCGAGTGTGTGGATGCCGATACCAAGGTCATCGGCATGCAGAATCTGTTTGTTGTAGACGCCAGTATAGTTCCTCCTCTAACCACAAACCCCGTCATGGGTGTTATGATTGCTGCTGAGAGGGCGGTAGAGAAGATTCTTCCCCTCATGAAGACCCCAGCTTTGGAAATTACCTTGTAAAAATTCCATGCTTATGACTTTTGCTACGTAAAAAAAAAGTTTTAATTGAACCTTCTTAGATAATCCTTTCTCGAGCACTTTAGAATTAAAGAATTAAAGTCTTGGAACGATGCAATTTGTGCCTCCCCCGCGTAGTCCCGTGAGCATTTGTAAGCGGAATGTAGACCACCCGACCCAAAGTGCAAAACCACCCACCAAGAATGCACGTCACCTGAATATAAATGCAAAACTACCAAGAAGCATAGTTAAACTCCTATTCACTTACTTCTTAGACCGCTAAGGACAGCTCAAGTAGACGCGAATTAATATTTACAAATCTACGGCCGATAAGATACAAGTCTACGTATCAAACTGTGTATGTATTTTAGACCCAGATGCATTGAAAAAGACACACTTGGTATCGTTTATAGCAAGATCTGATGGGTAATAGTCGTTTGTTTCGATTTTCCAGTTATATGGGTTGCATAAGAAACTCCCCAAGGAAGCTCTAAGCCCCAAAGTGTAACCAACCGGAGACGGAAAACGGAATATCCGAATAGGGCCCCTGTACATTTGTAAGTAACTGGGTCCTGTCTATGTCACCGTGTTCCGTTTGTAGTATGGAGTACTGCGATGGGAAAGTATATTTAACACAAGACGAATGTCAGTGATTTCACTTTGGCATATCAATCTCTCCAACTTCAAAGAAGGAGAATCGTCAGCATGGAAGAAGACTTTGCAAGAGCACGAACACTTGGAGGTAAGTGAACCTAGGCTATACTTCCAAGTATAACGACTCAAAATATTCTAGGACGTCTCTCTCGCCAACATCATGATACCTACCCATACATCGACCCCAAAAAGGTCAACCTTAAGGGGAAAAGCGTTCTCATTACCGGAGCATCCAAAGACATTGGAAAAGCAACGGCGATAAGCTACGCCCAGGCCGGCGCTTCCAACATTGCACTCGGCGCGCGATCATACCTCGACTCCACCGTGACCGCAGTCCTCGAAGCAGCAAAAACCGCCGGTCACCCCCCGCCCCGCATCACAACACTGAATTTCGACGTCACAAGCGCCTCGAGCGTCTCCGCCGCCGCCTTGCAAGTCTCCAAAGACTTTGACGGCTGCCTCGACATCCTCATCAACAACGCCGGGTACCTCCACAAACTGAGCTCAATCCCGGACTCGGACCCAGAAGACTGGTGGCGCACCTTCGAAGTCAACATCAAAGGCCCCTACCTAATCTTCCACGCCTTCTACCCTTTACTCCGCCAATCCTCCCTCAAAACTGTAATCAACGTCGTATCCCTCATTGGCGTCTCCACGCTCCCGCAACACTCGGGCTACGCACTTAGCAAGCTGGCTGCACTGCGTCTGACGCAGTACATCAGCCAGGACCATGGCGAGGGTAAAGAAGGGATTGTGGCGATTGGGGTGCATCCCGGGGCTATAGCGACGGATATGACGTTGACGATGCCCGAGGAGCTGCATCATGTTCTTACTGAGACGAAGGAGTTGGCGGGGGATGCGATGGTGTGGTTGGGGGCGGAGAGGAGGGAGTGGCTGGGTGGGAGGTATGTTAGTGTGTGTTGGGATTTTGAGGAGTTGAGTGAGAAGAAGGGGGAGATTGTGGAGGGGGATTTGTTGAAGATACGGTTGGGTGTTTGAGGGGTTTCGATAGAATGGGATTGAGAGGGTTCTTCGTTTTTCTTTTCTAATCAAGATGGGGTTAGTCTTAGATTAGAGGGACGTGAGGGTTGACAGAAGTCTGTGTATCTTGAGAAATAGGCCAGGTTTCCAATGAATGCTGGTGGAGAGCTTTGGATGTGGTATCGTGCTTCACCACTGTCGCTCTGGTACTGCTATCTCGTGCCTTCGTTCTCCACTTGATCGGCCAGAGGAGCCAGGCCAGGTAGGTGATAGCTACGTAGAGTGAGTGATATTGAACTGAACCTTCACCTCTCTTCAGCGCCACTCAATGGTTTTAATCGTGTCTCCAATAGGATTACTAGTTGGCGATAGTCTTCAATTGGTCTCGCTGTCGAGCTACAAAGTACATACATATATATATATTGCTGTCAGCCAATATCGTAAGGCTGAGCAGCGGGTAGAGCAGGCGACACCTTCCGACAATGGCTAGTAACTGCTTAGCGACTGTCGATTAGTGTCGCTCACCCCATCCGGCCAGCGACAGATGTCGATTGGTGTCGCTCACCCTACATTTCTATAGTGGCTAGTTTTTGTGGCTGATGAGCGACACTAATCGACAGCCGTCGCTTGCCCCCCCTGCTTAGCGACAGCCGTCGATTGGTGTCGCCTACTACTGACTAACGTTGCCCGTTAGCCATAATGTCTCGAACACGAAATAATACCTCTAAACATCCACCGGTAGGGGTCTATCTATAGACTATAAATGCCTTCAGGAGTACAACTGCATCGACCGAGGCAATAATATTTCAGAGTACTACTAATGCTGATACCTGCTTAACTCAGCATATTAACCTATCAGAGCTGTATCCATTGATCCTACATCAGGCCTCCAACTTTGTCAATGTTTCCGTCCTTTTTGATTACTGAGCAGCCTTGAAATCATGTAGGCGTAAATCTGCAGCGGCCGCCGCATCCCATGGTCTGACTCTGGCACGACTTTTCAGCCACCATCTCGATTGAGCCGTGGATTTTGTCAAAAGAAAGAAGAATGAGTATAGCTGCAGGTCTGATACCAGTGACGCAAAAAGCGTCCAATGTATGCGCATACTGCCGAGTCAGGAAACAGAGGTGTGACCGCACTCTGCCACATTGCCAAAGATGTGCTGTGTAAGAACATTCTTCGCGTCTATCAAAAGAAGAAACGGATGCTAAGTGGCTGCAGAAAAGAACGACACTGCGACTACACGCCATTCAAGGAACCTATTCGCCAGGGACATGACGATGTCACGCCACTGGTGCAGCACTTTGATGCCTGTCTCCATGCAGATTTGACCCTCGGCGGGGTCAGTGAGCTGCTTCATGCAGTTACGGCATGGATCACATCTGGCGGTACATCCGGCGCGGCAGCCAAACTCTCCAAAGTCGTATACGAAATCCTCGACCTAGCCGATGTAGACCTGGTACTAGCACTAGACGAGTTCGGTACCTGCATACAGCAGTGGTGTCCCGTATTCCCCACGTCCTATCTCTATGGCGAGGTAGAAGACCTGTCGCAGCAATCCCAACACAAAGACAGACTACGCCATCCTTTACTCTTGCTATGTCTCTGGCTCATCACCCGTCGGACCTGCGTACAACAAGCCCACACCACGCAACCCCATATCTACCTAGCCCTCAAACAAATCCTCGCCCTCCTCCACTCAAGCAACCAAATCAGCCTCCAAATCCTGCAAATATCTCTCCTACTAGCAATCTACGAAACCGGCCATGGCCAATCCCACGCCGCATACCTCACCCTCTCCACCAGCCTCTCCCTCTACAACCTCCTCCTCCTCTCCCCCACCCCAATCCCAGACTGGCTCACCTCCAGCATCCTCTTCCTCTCCACAACTCTCTCCACAACCCACCTCACCCCCGGTTTCCCCCTAGCCCTGTCCTCGTCCTCCCCCCTAGTCACCACCCTCGCTTCCTCCCTTGCACCCACCATTCCCTTACCCCCACCCACCCCCGACGCCACCAGCCCCCGCAAAACGCACATCCGCAGCGCCACAGCCGTAGCAGCGAGTCATGTTCTCTCCTACACCCACGCACTGACGCACACTTTACCCTTACCGTCCACCTACGCATCCGCCGACCAGAAAATCAACACTCTCATTACTCTTCTGATAGATAAACCTCAACCACACACCTGGCTCCACTGCGACGCCATCGCCCTAGCCTTCTGCTCCCACCTCCTCTTGCAGCTTTCCCAAGCACAATTCTCGACGCTGCAGGGAGAGGAAGCCGAAAAGGTTAAAGTTGCACTAAGCGTCTCGAGGCGTATGGCCTGGGATATGGTCCAAGTGGGGATACGCGTGGTAGGTTGCGAAGAGGAGATTGCGAGATTGCCGTTTGCGGGGTTGGGATGCGTGGTTAGGGCTGGGGTTGCGGTGCTGGAGACACGGGGGTGGGTGGATGATGGGGCGGATGGCGTGGTTGGGGAGGAGGAAGGGAGGAGGTTTCGGAGGTTGGTGGAGTGGGTTTCGGGGCGGTGGGGGGTTGCGGGGGGGTATTTGGCGAGGGTGGATGAGGTGCTGGGTAGGGGGGTGTAAGGATGTTTTTTTTAATATGAGAAGAAGGGGGTTGTTAGTATTTATCTTAACGCGTTGAGAAGTAAATCACCCACCCACTCGCCTTGAGCTAGACAACACCCCTTCTTCTCGTTCTCCCCATCTACATCGGAAAGGCAAGTCACGTCGAACCTCCTGGGCCCAGGCCGAACCCAACACCCCTTCTTCGCATCTTGCACCGCATACGCCGTCCCCGGCGCCACGAGCCCGAGATTCCGTCCCTTGGCCATATAATCATGCAACCACTTCTCCTGCGACTTTTTCCACAGCCGCATCTGCGCTTCGCTCTGTTCTTGCCGTAGATGCCGTAGCAGCGCTTCCACATCAACGTTATCGCGATATCCCAATGTCGGCCTAGCTTTCTTCAGTTCCCTGATTCGAGCTGCGCGGGCGCCGATATTGAATTGTATCATGTTCATCTGCTGTTCGAGATGCGTACCAGCGCTGACCGGGTTCCGAAACGACTGCGTAGGATTCGTGTCGATGCCGATATAAGTCGTACTTTGGCATCCTAGTACGGGACTCGAAGGTAGACATGCGGTCTGTTGGTATTTACTGTGATCCAACAGAGGCGTTTCAACACCGAATCCTGCATCCTCTCCCTCCGTCCCATTTTCAACCCTCGAGAACCCAAACTCCTCATCCTTGATACCCTCAACAACACCCCTCCCCGCCACCGCATCCGCAAGCTTATTCCCCACACTGCCCCCATGCCCCTTCACCCACTCCACCTCCACTCCACCTCCACTCTCACCCCCCGCTTCCCTAACCACTCACACCCCTCATAAACCCCCTCTAACGCCGTCTTCCCCTCCACCCGCGGCCCCAGCGCCGTTAGCGTTCCCTCTGCCAACCCCCTAAGTACGAAGGCACAGTCTGAGTATATAATCACGCGTTCGCATTTCGATGCTTCCCCCTCATGCAGGATAGCTTGCTGGACATGACCGAGAGCGAGGGCAAGGGCGAGGAGTTCGCCGGAGTGGGAGGAGGAGCCGGGGGAGTGGAAAGTGTGGGCTGGGTGCAGGATGTAGGAGTCGTCATATTGGACTATGCCAATGCCCATGATGCCGTGCTTGAGGGATACATCGACGAAGTAGACTAGTGTGTGGCCTGAAACTATGAATGGGAGGAGCGGTGCGAGGCGGGTGGTGTCTGGTTCGTAGGCTTCGAGGGCGTTCATACGGATGGTGCTGCTGAATACGCGGTTGGGTCCTAGAACTGCATCGGTGAAGCCCAGTTTGCGGGCTTTTTCTGAGGCTTTGCGGAGATGCTTTTGGGGAGGTTAGGGAGGTGTGGTGCAGGAAGAGAAGAGAGGGATGGGTATACGTACACTTTTTCTGGCTTTCTTTCCCGCTCGCTTTGTGGAGGGGAGGTGGCTGGTGAGGCCCTCGGATGCTTTGACGCTTTTTTTGCTGGTTCGAGTCATTGGGTGCGGAAAGTGAGAGTGCTTCGAAGGATTGAAGCCTCAGAGGTAATAGAGTTGGTAAATAAAGGTATGGACGGAAGAAAGGACGATAGCAATAGCATGTGCGGCGTGAGCCATTGCGGCAAGTACTTGGGGAGTGAAGAAGAAGGCGCGTATCAAATGGCAACGTACTTGCCGAAATCAATGAGAAATATTGAGTTGTTACTGTGCGAGCAGATGCAACAGGAAAACACTGACCTGGTATAAATTCACGTTCATATCATCTCATACTACACCTCTCAATCACCGGGTATATCTCAACCTACGCTACCCCAACTATCCACATACCAACCCATCCCTAGGCTCCTCTACAATCTGCTTTCCATCACCCTTCTCATCCGACAACACCTGCTTCTCTACCCTACCCTCAGGTTCCAAACCCATATCCTTGACCTCTGCATCTTCCTTCTTAGCAGCTTGCTCCGCCTGCTGCTCCAATCGCTTCTTCTCCTTCTTACTGACTGTCATACTGCCCTTCTCCAAAGCCTCCTTCGGCAGCGGTCGGACATAGGGCTGGCAAACCCAGTAAGGGCGTTTACAGCGAGCTACAGTGGCTAGTGAAGACTCGTAAGGGTCGAGGGGTTCGGGAGGTGCTGCGGAGGTATCTTCAGCGAGAGACTCAGGAACGGCCGGTGTGTCTGTGGCGTTGGCTTGCTCCTGCTCGTATTTTTGGATACCCTCTTTGACAGCTGCTTCGACCAAACTGAGCACATTCTCAAACGCATCAATGTCGCCTGTCCGCGAACGAGCAAGCGCGTCTCGTACATTGTGGTGCTCTGCGACGAGCGGACGTAGGAGATGGAAGAGATGTGCCTGCATGGCTGTTAAGTTTGGATTCGACGCCTCCTTCTTTTTCTCGGATTTGGACATTTGCTTTCTCTTCTTCTTTGGCGGGCCTTCCTCATCCTCTTCGTCCGACTTGGCTGCCTCTTCTTGCTTTGGAGGTTCCTCGGGATCTCCAAGCATCCATAATGGTTTCCTTTGGGGAGGTTCTTGACCCAGTGCGTACTTGTGTATGATGTCCATATACCTCCTCATCACAGCATCCATCCTGTATCCACCCTTACCATCCCGACCTCTCCAGTATTCACGACCTTCCTGGCCTACGGGTGGCGGTGGCGCAAAGATGGTTGGATCGTAGAGGTTTCCTTCGGCGCTCATTACCCCATCTGCACCTGTTGCCTCTAGACATGCTGCAATGTCCTCGTGCTGTAGAATGTTTCCATTTGCGAACAGCACCGTCTCTTTGGGCAGGTTTTCCCGCAGATACCGAATCATCTGCCAGTCTGCCAATCCGGTGTTGTGACCTTTTTGTTCTCTCCGCCGACCATGGACTGTGAGGATGCTTGCGCCTGCATCTAGTATTGTCTTTGCGTATGCCAGTGTCTTCTCTGGGGTCTCCAGAATTCGCATCTTCGCTGTGACAGGAATATCGAGTTCCTCGTGTAATTTCCGTATCATTCTCGCAATCAGATCCCAGTCTTCCTGCAAGAAAGCGCCGTATTTTCCTCGTTTCGCAATTCCTTGGGGACATCCCAAGTTCAAGTCTACCGCATCGCAAAAGGGCGCAACGTGCTTAGCTGCTCTGAGAAAGTCTTCTGGATCGTTGGAGCAAAATTGGACAGTGAGGGGCCTGTCGAAGGCTGGGTTCCCGTCAAGATGTCTGCTCGAGTCAGGGAGCTGAGACAAGTGGTAGTTGTCTACAGGCGAGGGAAGAGGCGACTTGAGTGGCTGGAAGTGTGAATCTCGATACTGGCTCTTCTCGCCAAACATCTTGGAGTGAAACATGGGCGTATATGCTAAGAGATTTCCTTTCTCGGACTCGGGGAGGAAAGAGCGGGATAGTAGTCGCCATGCCTATCAATATATTGTTGTTAGCCTATGATTCTGGAAGGAGAGCGCAACAGTCATGGAAACATACGAACTCTGACTGTTCCACCATGGGCGCAAGCACGAGTTTCGGGCTTCCAATGCTCTCGTAGAATGCGCGCCCATGTAATTTTTGTGGTTTCCCATTCGCCTGCGCCGTCCCATTGCTATGTAATACTCCTGCAGCCTCCCCTTGGACCGTCTGAGTTGTGGTGGTCGCCATGATGCCGAATCGTCGCCGCGAAACTTGGACCGCTCTCGTGGGGGCGATTGCGCCCCCAAACGCCTTAAACAAAGAGGAGCGTATGACGTCGAATGCCAGATACGCTCAGGGTCGTCCGGGATGTCCTCCGCCAAGTGTCACGGTTCCTGGATTGATCAAAGACAGGGTTAGGGTCATGGTGAAATGGCGGAGAAAAAAAACGACATTGACCACTCCGCTGAAACGGACCAATCGGCGTTCGCCAAAGCTCCGCGCCAGCCCAGTGCGACGAGCGTTGACCATATGTTCGTCAGAGTCATAAGATGTTGTGCAGCAAGATCTTGTCGTTGGCACTTTTGCTTTTTAGTATTTTAATTTCCGCGTGTGACGTTGTGACCAGTCATGTGCTGCTGCACTACACTGCATCTTCGTACATCAAGCTCACCTTCATTCAGGCCACGCAAAGAGGTCCGTCACGAACACCCTCAATACCAATAGGAGTCCGGCCTCACAGGATACGAATACTATACACTACATCATCGACATAACGCACACTGTTTCAAACCTTCGACGCGGTCACGCGACTGATGACTCTATCCTTAGCTTACCCCCTGGTTGCAATCACGCCATCAGGGTGTCATATGGCAACGCCAACTCAGAAACTTAAAGTAAGCCTCTATCCTCACTCAAAATCACTCTGCAATATTGAACGCGTCAGGTTATACCAATGTTCATTCTAACGACAACTAGGTCGCATGGTATGATAACTCAAGAGCCTCGCTCATGTTGAGACGCTATAACAGTACACAGATAAACAGACATGATGTTGAACTAGACCCCATGAACAGGCAAACGCCATATCTGTCGACCATCCGCCTCATTCTCCATCCCTCGTCCATCGTACGGAAACGTCTAATTGTTGTACCCAACCGACAGTCATTACTCCGGATATCTCGTCGGCCGTGAAAATGAGTTGATTTCGAAAAGGGAGAGCGGCTGCCCTCGGAGAATGCAGCCCGAAAAGAGGCAAAAAAGGAAAACGCTGAAATGACAAAGACCAACCCGAGTGGTGAAAGCAAGACGCCATTATTATGCAAATGTTATGCAGGGACTTTGTTTGAAGTCGGAAAAAGTGGAGTGACCGATGCGGCGGCAATCGTGATCATCCGGATATCATCGAGAGAAGGTATGACATGAGTAGAAAACACGGCCCAGCTGCAGAGCACGCGGGCAATGGAGACGCCAGGTGTTTAGAAAGTGCTCCAGTTCCAGGTTCCCTGGAGGCTCTGCGCCAAGCTGCCTACGCGGGTGTTGTCTGGCCGCTTCGCAACCGCGGGAGTCTGAATCGACTTTGCCGGGGCCGGTCCGCTGCTGTCAGAGCTCTCGCTGTTAGTTCGGCTGGAGCGGAGATGCTCCCACTCGCGGAAGGAGCTGTGGCAACGATCACATGCACGATGCCAGTGACCTTGAGGATGGAAGCGGGCAAGCTCGTCAAGGCGGACTTGGTTGCGAGAGTGCTGTGCGCAGAAGATGCCACCGCATTTGCGGCAGTGGTGACGGCGCTGGAAGAATCCAAAGGGCTCCTGGCAAGACGAGGCGGAGCAGACCAAAGTGGAGGCATCGGCCTAAAGAACATGGTTAGTATCATTGGTCTGGACTTTGGATACAACTAGAGGCAAAAAGAGCTTGGCGGGCTAAAGAGATCAAGCCCTGCATCGGGTAAATTCTTTAGCGCGGGGGTGGACGATGTGCTAGCGACCAAAGTGGCAAGTCGGTGGGCAGGCAAGACGATCGAATTTCCCAACGCCTTACGCAGCCTAGGAAGTAGCGATATTGGCCGGACTGCAGCAGTGGGCATCGGGCGTCGAGTGTTGCATCTTGCCGACAGATTTATTGAAATGTGGCAAGTAGCAAGCGCTCGGCATCTCGGCTCAGCAGACAGCGGGAGGACCGACAAGCACGACGCTAGCGAGGCCCACTTGGCCCATGTACGTAAGACGGGACCCTCGAGCCCCCCCAACTGAGCACGCGACATGGGTGGGATGCACAGGGCGAGCAGGGGCGAAAGAGCGAAACAGAAAAGAGAGAGTAATAACAACATACCTGCCAGTGGTTCCGTGTAATTGGTCCGGCAACGGGAGACAAGGGTTCGGGACTGTAGAGGCTCTGCATATCCTCGTTGCCAATGTGAGAGATGGGTGTGATGCTGCCGTCGTTGGCAGCCCATCCAAAGCCGGCATTCGTCGACCATGGGTTGGTGTTGTTGGAGTCTGCGGCCGAGTCTTGCTTGGGGGGAGACTTGCTGGCGGGCCTCTCAGTCTTGCGCAGAGCAGCGGGGATACCGATGGCGGTCCTGGGTTGGTAGATGCCCTGGTGGCGGGAGAGGGGCAGATGTGTGTTGCGAGGTGAGGTGGGCGAGATGTTTGCGGGCGTGTTGATGGCCGAGTTTGTGGGCGAGTACTGCGAGTGTGTCGACTTGCGGTATGCGTGGTGTTGGTAGGGCGCGTGTTGGGGGAAGGTGGTGGTGGTAGTGGTAGTGGTGGTGGAGAAGGTCGTGGCCATGTTGACTGGAGGTTGATGGAAAAGAGGTGGGGTGGTGTCGTAGTGAGGGCTTGGAGGTGCGACGTCAAGGTATAAAATAACGGGCTGTCGGAAGACGTGGACAAGGACAGCACAGGCGGTGAAAGTGGTGGGATGGTATTGGTGCGATTGCACAGGAACAGGCGTGTGGTTTCAAGTCGTGGCTGAGTGGGAGGCAACCAGTACTTGTGCAGTGGTGCAACAGAGGCTATCCTGGCAGACAGGCCGAAAAGGATGTACGCGGTTCCTGGTAGGGGTGTTTGGAGAGTCGGGCTGCAAGTCGATTGGTAGCTGACGTGCAGACGATAAGAAGAGTGATGGAGGAGGACGCCGGGGCCACGCAGTCAACCGTGGAGCTAGCAGCGCATAGTACCAGGGTTGGGAGGCTGCTAGACGAGGGTTTGGGTGGGCGGAGAGGGCGTGTGTAGTGTAGAGATGGTAGTAGGTAGGTGGATTGTGCGTATAGGGCAGACCAAGGCAAGGCAGCAGTTGGTGTCGCGTGAGTGCGGAGGAGCTGGGGTGAGGCTCTGGGGACAGGGTGAATTAAGTCAAGGGCAGCCAGCGGCTCTGGTAACCATTACCAACAACGAACTGACGGGGTGGGGGGGGAGCGGTCGCCTGATGGGGAATTATGGCCGCGTGCTTGGCGCAGCCGAGTGAAGGGCCAGCGACCAGAGCGACCAGCGACCAGCGACCAGCCGACAAGGGTATCATCGGGCTACGACCGGCCGCCGTGGTTTTTTCTTTGAGCATTGCAATGGTAACCGCGAGCATGCGCGCGCCTCCGACTCGACCCTGCCCCGCCATACACCGCTGCAATGACATCAAAAAAGCAGCGATGGATTTAAAAAAAAAAAAAAAAAAGACGGGGAACGGTGCTGGGGTAGCCCAACGGCCGCGTATCTTCCATTCACTGCGACTATCGATGTACGTAGCAGTAGGCGTGTGCACTGTGCTTTTGCAGGCTGCGTGCTTGCACCTGTCTCGTGCGAACAGCGTTGCATCTGCGGTCGAGGTGGCCAGCCGTTGGGCCCCACCCTGCCCTTTTGGGCGCCTCTTATCTCTGGCCAATCATCGCCCGCGCATATGCACGCCATCCCTGCCCACATCGACTCGACCATCTCCGAGGGGCGGAACGCCAGCGTCAGTCGTAAACTCTAACCTCGAGCAATCATCCGCCATCGCCAGCTGCATCGCGACCGACCTCGCTTGTGCTTGCTGATCCCGTCGTCATCTCTGGGGCCATGATAGGCGTTGGCGCCTGCTGAATACGAGCACACACGTACTATGCACATCTGCCATCATGGCTGTCCTCAGAACCCGCATCTTGCATCACCCATCATCGCCCATCGACACACGCTGTCCACGACCAGGCAAGTGTGCCGCGAGAGGCGCTGCCGGGAGAGGGAGAGCCCGCTGAGATGCGGCGAGTCTGCAACAACTGGCGGGGCAATAGCCACTACTCCTCCATGCCATGCCATGCCGTGCATGCATGCAGCCACCAGCCACGCCTCAGAAATAGCCGTCGCCAGGCGCGCCCGTCCTCATTACCCAGTATATTGCGGCCGAACTTCACGATGCTCCAAGACGAGCTGCAAGTGTGTGTGGGCAAGCGTGGGTGGGTGGGACTGCCAATCACATCGGATCCGCTCTCAATAGTCCTCTAGACAGGGCCCGCCGCGCTGCTTGCTCGCTCTTGGAACATGCCGTCGGTGAGGGTCAGAGGTCCACAGCCAGCTTCACGATCCGCCTCAACTTCGGAGCATTCTTGTTTGCATGGTGCTACTATACCTGTACTACTGGGCCTACTACGACTGTTGGACATCTGCCATGGCCCAGAGGACATGCGCATGGTGGTAGGGCTGGATCCGATGACTCGTACGACGTCGGTCGGTCCATCGTCAGTCCGTGCATATGCAACCCTGCAGACATTTGACGTCTTTCGCAATCCATCATCCCTGGATCTCAGTCGCATTGGCATCGGCTCCGGCACTGCCACTGCCACTGCCACTGCCACTGACACTGACACTGACAGCTGCTATGCTCTGCTGTGTCCCTCGTACGGATCTGGCGATTCTGCTCTCCCTGCATCCAGACAATGCGGCTGGATAGGACAAGACGAGACATGCACCACGTCCGTGCATCTTCCTCTAGTTAGTGGCGAAGCTTTGCTTTGCCCATCTGGACCGAGGCTCCGTTCCGCTCAGCTGCCGCCAGTCAAGCTCAAACAATGGCACGGCTGGCAACGACAAGACGCGCCCGCTCCACCCCCTCCGGCCGTCCACTCTGTCGACAAGATAGTCAGACAGACGCCTGTGTCTGTACTGTGCTCCGCTGCTCCACACTTCCGACCCTCTGAGCGCTTGCACACGATATCAAGGCTATCCCTGAAATCCCAACCTACGTGGCGACATGGCAACACCACTCCAGACCGAACCCATTTCGCCGAGAGCTACACCTTTGCCTCCGCTTCCTGCTGAAGATCCGCTCACGCCCGCGCAATGGACCACGCTGCTCGCCATTGCAGATGCCGTCATTCCTGCAATCCAGCCCGCCTCGACAGCTACGGCGCAAAATGATATTGTTGCGTCTGACCAAGACTATTCTACTGCTATCAGCACGCTGAGGGCCCGCATACCCGAGAGCGACCCTGATGCTGGGGCGGCTGCCAAAGAGTACTTGGCCGCATATGCAAGTCAGGACCCCGCATTCCGTGCAGAAATGCAGCGAGTATTCACCCTGTACATGCCCCATAGTCAGAGGAAGGAATTGGCCATGGTGCTCGACTTGCTTGATACCAGACCGGGGTCGTTGTTCCTAACTGGATACCTCACACCCATTAGCGCCCAGCCCATCCATGTTAGAGAGTCGATTCTCCACGCTTGGGCAACCGCTCGCTTGGGGCCACTCCGGCAGATGCGTCGCTCATTCACCATTCTCTGCAAGCAAGCGTGGATCAAGACGTCGCCGGCTTTGCGCCGTGTTATAGGTCTGCCGCGGGTGCCAATTGGCATGAGACCGGGTAAAGGGTTTGACTATGAGTTTATCCAGATTCCTCCCGGTGACGATCCTGAGGTGATTGAGACAGACGTGCTCGTTGTGGGCAGCGGTTGTGGAGGCGGCGTGTCTGCAAAGAACTTGGCCGAAGCAGGGCACCGTGTCTTGATTGTTGAAAAGGCCTATCATTGGACTCCGGATCACTATCCTATGACTGAAGCTGATGGGTGGCACCATCTCTTCATGAGCGGCTCCTTCTTGACGTCTGACGATGCCTCCGTCAGCGTCGTGGCGGGGCAGTCTTTGGGTGGAGGAGGAACAGTCAATTGGTCCGCTTCTCTCCAGACCCAAGGCTACGTCCGCCGCGAATGGGCAGCACGAGGCCTGCCGTTTTTTACATCTGCAGACTTTCAGCAGTCGCTGGATCGTGTCTGTGACCGGATGGGCGTTTCGACTGAGCATATCAAGCAAAACCCGGGCAACAGGATGTTGTTAGATGGTGCCAGGAAACTAGGGTGGAATGCCAAGCCAGTTCCCCAGAATACTGGGGGGAAGCAGCATTACTGTGGCTATTGCAATTTTGGCTGTGGCTCGTGTGAGAAGCAAGGGCCGGTAGTGTCGTTCCTGCCGGATGCGGCTCGTGCGGGCGCAAAGTTTCTCGAAGGTTTCCATGCCGAAAAGGTTGTTTTTTCCATGCAAAACGGTCAACAGGTAGCCACGGGCGTCGAAGGAACATGGGCGTCTCGTGACATAAACGGTGGAGTGGCAGGTTCGCCTGTTAACCGGCGCAAGGTGCTGATCAAGGCAAAGCGCGTTATTGTCTCTGCAGGCACACTGCAGTCTCCCTTACTGCTGATGCGCTCTGGTCTGAAGAACCCGCGAATTGGCCAGAATCTGTATCTTCATCCCGTCACGTTTCTTGGTGCTTACCACAAGGCAGAAACCAACCCATGGGAAGGAGGCATCTTGACGGCTGTCGTTGGTGAATTCGAGAATCTTGATGGGAAAGGCCATGGTGCCAAGCTTGAAGCCACCAACATGATACCATCTGCCGGTCTCATGTGGGTAGATTGGAAGGGAGGCTTACAATGGAAGCTCGATGCTGCCAGGCTAAAGCACATGGTGGGTTACATTTCCATTGTCAAGGACAAAGATACAGGAAGGGTGTATCCAGATCCCGTCGATGGCAGAGTGCGAGTTTCGTACCAGGTCAGCAAGTTCGACAGGCAAAATATCATGGAAGGTATTTTGGCCCTGGCGAAGATCCAATACATTCAAGGCGCAGAAGAAATCTTCACAACCATACCTGGCCTGAGGTCATTTGTCCGGGACCCTTCTGCGCCGTTAGGGGACGGCATCAATAACGCAGAATTCCAGGCGTGGCTCGCAGAGGTCGAGGCCAAGGGCTTTCAGTCGCCCGAGAGTATGTTTGTGTCTGCACATCAGATGGGAACGTGTCGCATGAGTGCGCAAGAATGGGACGGTGTTGTCGACCCCCAGGGCAAAGTTTGGGGTACAGAGGGGTTATACGTGGCGGACGCAAGTGTTTTCCCCAGTGCTAGCGGGGTCAATCCCATGGTAACAAACATGGCTATTAGTGATTGGATCAGTAGGGGAATTGCAAAGGGTCTGGAGGAGCGTCCCCGCCTGTAAGCAAATGAATCGTATTTGAAATGCATAATGGAGAGAAGGGGATGATAGTCTTGAGTTATCTGATGGGATTTGCAGTTGGCCAAGGACTGAAGGATTGGCGCCACTCTTCTCTTGGTCTACACAGCCTTCCTGGTGGCCTTATGGGAGGACTGCCATCAACGGCAATGGGCCAGGTTTCACGGGTATAAGTACGCTAGGCTACTGTGAGGCACACAGGTGGTGATATCGCCACAAGCAGTAGACTATTCACAGCCCAAGCACATGGCCGAAGCGCCCATATGATTGGTGGGCGACGGTGCGACAGCCATGTCCCGTGCGGGCCGGGCAAGCGTGCCAGGCCTGTGACATCACCAGTCGACAGACTGTGGGGTTGATTGGGTTCACCGTGTGTTCGTCTGCAACCTTTGACCTGCTCGCCCATCTGATCTCCAGCCTTTGCTGCCGCTATGAGCCTAGGGTTGCATCCTTGGACCCTGACTGCGCCTGAAATACAGGGACCCGAAACAGAGTTTCTCGCCTGTTGCTCGATGTACCACTGAGGCAGACGTTTATGCTCGAGTCCCTCTTTATAGAGTCGGGCGCACCACGCCTGCGCTCCAAGCAGGGTTGACCTGGAATACTTAAGCTTGAAGACGACGACTGCCGCGCACGCCTTGCCCGTGCAATTGTGACGCAGCCTTGCGTTGAATACAAACTATAACCGCATCTTTCGCCCGACAAACTTCGCACTTTGCCACAACTCCCAACGCCACATCACCACACACACACACGCACACACCGACCGCAAAACCATCGTCTACACCACCATGACCAGCGTACTCAAGGGCGGCTTCGGCTCGCCAAACAGTGCGCCTCTGGGAGGCCCCAATCCGGGCACCGAGTTTGTCAACACCATTTGCCCGCTCAAGGGTGCTCTCGACGGCTACGACAATTCCCTGCCATGCAGCAGGCAGACCATCCCCGTCCCCACCAACTTCCGCGATGCCATGGCTGTCCGTGAGGTCGTCTTTGGCGAGCAGGGTGTTCCGCTCGAAGCCGAGTTTGACGAGGACGATGCCCGCAGCTGGCATTGGGTTGCCTATGCCTCCGTCGCTACACACTCGACATCACCACCCAAGGTGCTGCGCCGTGCTGACTCGGGCAACACGCCTGCCGATGACGCCCGCCGCGCATCTGCTACTGCTACGCGCGTGCCAGTTGCGACGATCCGACTGATTCCCCCGCCCCACGGCCCGAACAAGTACGTCCAACACCACGAAACAGACAAGCATCCCGACGCAGATCCCCCGCTCCACGACCAGGAGCACAAACAGCCAGCAGAGCCCTATATCAAGCTTGGCAGGCTCGCTGTACTTGCTCCTTACCGCAGTCTCGGTCTTGCGAAGCTGCTCATCAACGCGGCGCTCGACTACGCCACAGCGAACCCCGACTTGATCTACCGTCCTCCGTCTCCCACCGCATTGGAGATGGCCCAAATACTTGGCCACCAAAAGGAGAGGGAAATCACATGGCAGGGTCTTGTTATGATCCACGCACAAGCAAACCTACAGTCCATGTGGGAGAAGCACGGTTTTCATGAGCAGCTCAGGAACGAAGACGGTCATGTTGAGATAGATGCCGAACCTCATTGGTTCGAAGAGGGCATTGAACATGTCGGCATGTGGAAGCGACTCCCAATCGAAAAGCGCAAGAGGCTGTCTCTATCCTCTCTCGACTCTGCTTGAGCACATCTTGCTACTCACTTTTACCATTTCTCGCGGTTTTTGTTTGCACGCTATTTTTAGGCTCTGCTTCAGGGGATTTCAGACTGTTTCGACAACAAGACTGGATACCCGCGTTCTTGAAGTTGGATTCTCCACACATTTCCGGGGTGCCCGGTCGAGAATCCTCCGTGTTGTGAAATTACATTATACCCAATCCCCTTTATCCAATTTTTCATGACGACACGGCCGCATCTTTCGCTTCGTTTTGGTTTAGATGGGAAGAGCTGGAGTTATTTTTTTTTCGAAATCAAAAAGTTACAAGATATGATGGTTTGCAGTAGACTAGCAGAATCGACCATTTCGACCTTTTCCTCCTCCAGCAGTGCCTGTTTTCCGGTTCTCTTTCTAGCGTCTTTTTCAAGCGTATCCGGTCGTTGTAGGAATTGTTCACTCTCACCTACTCTTTCCATTCTAGTGAACGGGAAAAATATGTGGGGTAAAGGGAGTGGGTGAGATACTACTTAGGAACTACCCCAGTACCCCAGTATATTGGCTTGGCGAACCCCGTCAAGAGGCATGCCGTCTCTGCGCACCAAGGAAAATGAATCACAGGCAACAGTCACATCGTCAAGTATCGCAAGGAACACTGTTCCACTGGTGAAGCCATGTGTTTGTCTTTGAGAAACATTGTGAACCAGCGCGCACGTGGTGACAGTCACACGACCATAGCGCACAAGTCCGTTTGCCATCATAGGATTCGATCACACCGCCGCTCTTAGCTCGGCACAATTAAAATTACACTCTCACTTGTGAAGACGAAATAGTCTACGCGTAGAAATTCAATAATGTATAAGTGACGCGCTGCTCTCAACGTCTCCGCCGACTAAACTTGACTTCACCACCCATCGCAACCAGTACCTTGCAAACACTGTTCGAACATTCATCATGGTGGCCTTTTTGGGAGTCACCATTACCCTTGTGCTTGCTGTTATTTCTAGAGGCAGCCATGCGGTTCAGATCCCTGGGGCAGACAACAACCACGGGTTCAAGGTTGCCGTCTCGCATTTCCCTCTAACAGACACCACACGCAAGGATCCATACTTTTCCACACAAGACCGCCGCGTCATGGTCAGCCTGTTCATGCCTATTCCCAGAGACTCATGCTCGAGTGAGTGCCAGAACAGCTACATGCCACCGCAGACAGCTCGAATTGCCAATGAGCAGTTCATTGTTGGGGGACAGCGTGACATTGGCGTCTTTGAAGACATGACCTACAACGCCTGCTGCAAGAGCTCAGGGTCTATCGATGCGAGCAAGATTCCCGTCGTGGTACTAGAGCCGCACGTCGACACGAGCAGGTTGCTCTACTCAACCATGGCGCGCTTCATCGCCGCCAACGGAGCTGCAGTCGTACTAGTTGACCACCCAGGCGACGCCTCCATTGTCGAATTCCCCAACAACGGCCGGCGCGCCCTCGACACAGTCTACAACAGCGGTACCGTCTCGCTCTCCAACTTCTCCCCCCTAACCGCCTGGAACACCACCGTTACCAAAGCCATCGAAACCCGCATCTCAGACATTGAATTCGTCCTCTCCCAACTCAACTCCGCGGACCTCCTCAGCCGCCAATTCAGCTCCTTCACCTTCGCCTCCAGCACCGGCCTCGGCACCACAAACTACGGCATCGTAGGCCACGGTCTCGGCGGCTCCGTCGCCACCTCCCTCGGCCTGACCCCTACCACGCTCTTCAGCATCAACCTCCAAGGTACACCCCCCCTCCTCACCTCCCCGGTCCGCAACAACCCCCTCTTCTTCTTCGGCCGCCAGGATTACCGTCGTGAAAACGATATCCACTGGAAAACTACATGGTCCTATCTCACGGGCCCCGCGACGGAATTCGATCTCAACGACTCGGCCATCTTCGACGTGTCTGACCTCCCTATTATCGTGGAGCTTGCGCGAAATGAGGGCGGGAAACCGCAGACGAGCGGGCGGGGGTTGAGTGGTGGGTTTCCGGTTCAGGGGGCGCAGGCCGTGACGTGTTTTGTGGAGACGATTGTTAAGGCGCAGTTTGGGTTGGATTCGGGGGGTGTGCTGATGAATGATTGTATGAGGTTTTTTCCCGGGGTTGTGCCGTATCCGGGTGTTTGAAAGAGGAGGGGGGAAATGTGTATATAGGTTAGTGGGGGTTTGGGGAGGTAAAGGAATCTTTCTTTCTTTTCCTGCATTTTTTTTTACTTGGCCTAGGGAGGGTTTGCGGTGGATTGGCATTGGGATACGGAAGATACCCTGTTTTGCATGATTGGCGTTGGGGATAGATGTGGAGGGTTGGTTTGGACCCTTGTTTTTTTGGGGTGAGATGTAGAAGGATGGGTGTGGTTACTTTGAATGGAGACTCATGATGTAACTTTCAACCACTCTCTTTCGTCATCACGCACTCTATACGAATACATGTTATCTGGTACAGCACTCATGTTTCTGGTCCATAGCATCGTGAACCCCGCCTTTTTATTGACTGAAAAAGAGGGGGTGAAAGACGATACGAAGATACCATGGTTCGTTGACGGCTTGTTTGTGTATATATCTTCTCTTTCTTCCTCCCTCACATCTTCATCGCTTGCCAAACCTCAAGCAGCCTCGAGTCACCTTGTCAAGAAGACGCAAAGTCTAGAGTACTACTTTCTTCTTTCTCTGTCTTACCCCAATCTAAAGTCCCCAACATCATCAAAAATGCACCCCTCAACCATCCTCGCCACCACCGCTCTCGCCGCCACCGTAATGGCCGCCCCGGTGTGTGACGCGCCGACCCTGGATGCTGTGGCCCTGGCAGACACCAAGAGACAGCTCATATATCCTATGGATCTTTGTACTAAGATTGGATGCGGAGTCCCTCGTGTTGGGACGTATGATGGGAAGAAGCACCATGAGCATGATGATGATGAGCACCACGACGATGAACATCATGAAGAACATCATGAGGAGGAGCACCACGAGGAAAAGCACCCTGAGGTTGAAGAAGAGCATGAGGAGCATGGAGAGCATGAGCATCACGAGAATCACCATAGGGATGAGCACAAGAAAGAGTATGAGGGAGACCATGAGGATGAGCACACGAAGAAGTACAAGCACGAGTCCAAGAAGCTCATGCCAAGGTACGATCAATTCCGCCTGGAAGTGCTGAGGAAGCTCGAGACCAGGGGAAGAAAGGGCTTTGTTTGCACCGTCTTGTAGTCGTGAGAGAAACCTCCTACTAGCCATCAAAACAGTGATTAGCTTCTTATCTTAATAACGTCATCGAATTCTCCATCTGGTATCACCATGTCAAAAAAATCTCCAATAAACCCTCCTTGTTTTTTCTGTTCATTCAATTCCCTGCATCCTAACCATTCTCGACTGCACTAATCCAATAGCACAACCCCTCCAACATCAATTACTCCTAACCTCCCACATCCTCTCTACACTAATCGTCCTCGGCGACACACCCCCCTTTCCCATCATCTTGCCCCTCTCCTCCTTTCCCCTCTCCTCATCCGACGAAATACAAACCCGCTGTATCCCCTCAACCGGCCTCAACTCAATCTGCGACGAATTTTTCGTCTGATCCACTAGTTCGGAAAACGTAGCTGTCGGATCCAAACCTCGCGATGCGCCCGCACCTCGTTTCGACATGAAGCTGATTTGCTTGGCGCTGCTGCTGCCGCATTGGTACCCGGAGTCGAGGTTGTGGCGCGATTTGCCGAACAGAGGGCGCAGAAGGGGGACGCAGGCCAGGACGATGGCGACGGCGGGTTCGAGGCCGGAGAGTATGGTGGCGAGGACGCCGCTGTAGGTCATGTCTGCGAAGTCGAGGGTCGGGAGGACGGTTTGGCGGTAGATGGTTATGGCCCAGGTGCTATTTATTGCGATGTCAGCGAGGGGGTTGAGGGAGGATAAGGGGGAGGGTGGACTTGGTTACCCTATTCCGATGCTGAGAAGACCCATGGCGAGGAGTTTCTTGCGCATTGGCATTGCAAGTTTGTAGAGATATGGCATGGGCATTCCGATGAGCACGGCGTCGGTGATGAGATTAATGATGCCCATTGTAAAGTAAAAGTCTGGTTGACTTCCGCATGTTCCGGGCACTGTGAAGTCCCAGTTTCGCGCCAGTGGCCGGCAGATGAGGAATGCGGCCATGATGTTTGCGGAACACCATACTACGATGAAGGCGCCGAAAGCGACGCTCATTCGTATCATCGTGGGTGTGGGGATTAAGGCCGAGTACATGAGTAAGACTGAGAGTTTACTGAAGCATACGGTTGCGTTCCAGAGCATTGAGAAGGTCATGATTCCCTGTAGCCCAAACCGTTAGACGTATACATCAAGAGAGATATGAATCTGAAAAGTTTACCTTGAAGAAATACGTAGTCGTCCCCGGTCCAAACCGCTGCATGACTTCCGCAGTGTGGAATCCAAGTCCGCCGTGTGTAACCAGCGAAATGCATGTCCCGTGCAAAGCCGCATTCCACAGCTACATCAAGAAAACGTTAATGATCCAAACAAAAACCCAGTTTCTGGTAGTATAAAACTCACACAAGCAACAACGATACACCAATCGCTCCCATCAACACGATTCCGTATCCTCTTAGCAACAAGCCTCAAGCCCACCGCAATAACCACAATCGAAATCGATATCGAACTCGCAACCACAACGCACACTTGCAGACGATTCTCAATAGGAATCGTCCCATGCATCGTGCATAGTAAACGTAAGGTAGTAAAGGGGGTGAGAGCAAGCACCAGCACCAGCACAACAGCCGTCTAAACTCCTTCCGCCAGCAAAACAATCAATAACCAATAATGCCAAAAAAAAGGTGTACGTAAAGTTTCAAAAAAAGCCACGGATAAGTACGGCAATGGACTTGATAGTAAGTAATATCTAAGCCCTAAGAAAGCCCATCATCCAGGGTTACCAAATCTCATCTATTATTACTTTCTAACCCTCGCCCCCCTTCACCTCTGACGATTCGTCACAAAACGAGTAATACTAGCCCCCCCTTCCCCCCGAATTTACCTATCTATCTCTCTCTTTCTCTCTCTTCCGACACAGACCCCCCCGAAAAAAAAAATCTCTCTCGCGCATCCGCCCAAGAAAGAGAAGCGCCGCTGGACGAAACGGATCTGCAAGAGAGAGAGAGAGAGGGGGGCTGGATACGATAAAATTCGCGTGCCTTGCATTTTTTGGGGTGATCGAGTCGAAGGTACGTTACACGAGATAGATGGCAGCGATCGCAGTGAAGGGAAAGGTCCGATAGGGGTGGGGAGAGAGGGGGGAGGGGGGAAGAGAGAAAGAGAGTCCGGCCGTTGGGGGTGTGAGCGTGAGATGGAACGTGAGTAGGTTGATTGCCTTTTTTTGCTTACGGCGCAAAGCCAACCTTGTATTCCCCCACGTGGCGCAAAGTTGTGTCTTCTCTACTAGTCTGCGCTTGGATAATATAAGGTTTTCGCCTTGTCCTGTTTTCTTTTTGTAGGATTATGCCTGTTGAGGCGGCGTAGTTGCGGCATGAAAAAAAAGACAATAGTAGTAGTAGTAGTAAGTACTACGTAGTTAGAGTACCTTACTCGAGGTGTTGTGGGGCTTAGCTTCACCTTTTCACCCTTGTTTTTTTGAACTTATGCCCAACGTTCGCGCATTAGCTGACCCGACCCGCTATGCGCACACCGCCAACGGCATGCGGATCGTTGCATACTGGGTAGGAGAGCGGGCGGGAATGATTGTTTGTGGGCACGGGATTCCCTTTTTCTTCCATACTATGCGTTCGGAATTGGACCAGTCAGCGGCAGTACCGCCCTGCTCTGATGTAATCTTGTCTTCTTAGCGAAGGGATGATGGATGCAACTCCTCATTTGCGATGCCCATGCTGCACTGTGCCGCAATCACCTAATGCAATTGTTGATTTGCGATTTTGGTTAGTTTTTATGATAAGCGACTCGGTCGAATAACTTCGCCATTCCTTCCTGGTCGGCGTCCACCAGCGACCGGGTCAGGGACCTCCGACTCGACTTCCTGGAAATCGGGGTGCAGTCTTCCGCAAACTGTAGTACCCCACCCGTCCCAGTTACATGACTTGTGTTTTGGGTAGGTTTGCCGTTCATGCTCTTTCTTCAGCATTTTACTAACTTAATAACACGATTCTAGCTTATTGGTATAGACGGGAGTGCTCGTGCAAAGTTGATTGAGAGTGAGCTGTGTCGGGTCTACATCGGTGATGGGCATGGACGTACATGTGCCAGGCCTGTCTGTCCACGCAGATACCAGACAAACGGTCCGATGGAAGAGAAGGGGGCCACGCAGGCCAGCGACTGCGACTGCGACGTTTTGCTCTGCAATCGATAGGAATGTAGGCTAGTCGGCAAGCGATGGGTCCTCTTTCAAGTTCCGCGGAGGATTCAGCACATAAAGTGACATTGAAAAGGATCCAATAAAGTGGGCTTTCACATGCATACTTACATCTACCCAGAGCAGTGGTAACTTCTTATTCTGCTGCGGGCATAAGGTGATATTTTCCCCAACATTTGTGTCAGGAAACCCTTGAGGAAGCAAGTGCTGCATAATGGTTCGAGTCTCGAAGAACGAACAAAGGGTCGCCATTGTTACCGGTGCTACGGTTCGTTGTATTATGCTTTTGAGATCGCCACGAATACACTGACACATGACAGAGTGGTATCGGTTCCTGGCTGGCAGCACATCTTTATCGTGGTGGCTACCGCGTAGCCATCTGCGGTAGACGGGAGAAGGAGGGCCAGGCAGTTGCTCGTTCACTCGACGCATCCGAAAACACAGCGTTCTTTGTCCAGTGCGATGTGAGCTCCTACTCCTCACAATCCAACCTCTTTCAATCAGTCTGGAAAAAGTGGGGTCGACTTGATGTACTGATTGCCAACGCCGGGTGTGTAGACCGAGGCTCTGTCTACAACTTTGCACGCCGTGATGCGGCCATTGATGATTTGCCTGCAGAGCCCAACACCACCTGCACTGACATTGATCTGAAAGGCACGATCTATGGAACCACACTAGCAACCCACTTCATGCGCCATAACCCTGGGGGAAAGGGAGGCAAGATCGTCGTGACTGGCAGCATGATTGGTATATATCCTTGCCAAACCTTCCCTGAGTACTGCGCTGCAAAGGCCGCAGTCCATCAGTGGGTCAAGACGGTGGGACCGATCCTACAGGTCAAGGAGAACATTACTGTCAACTGCGTGATGCCGGGTGGTATCGAAACACCTGCCATGCCTGGCTTTAGCAAGGCCTTCCGCCCGGAACAGATGACGTTGCAATCGACGCTGATGGCTGGTTTTGATTCTTTCCTCAGTGATGCGGAGAATACCAAGACTGGCCAGTTGATCGAAGCTGCACATGACGAACTCATCAACTGGGGCCATCCAGGGTACAAGAGCGGATCATTCGCAAAGCGCACTGAAGCTGTCTTTGAGCCATGGTTCGAAATGATGCATAGAGAGACAAGCGGGCTGCCGGGCACGATTCCAGACTGGCCTGACCAAAAGGTCAAAATCATTGCAGTGACCGGTGCCACTGGAAGTCAAGGTGGCGGCGTAGTAAACATTATGAAGAAGACTCCAGGCTGGAAGGTCCGCGCGGTTACACGAAATCCCGACAGCGAGGCCGCCAAAAAGCTCGCAAAAGAGGGTATTGAGATGGTGAAAGCCGACTTTGACGACGAGGCATCTCTCCGCGCTGCATTCGATGGCGTACACGCCGTTTTTGCAGTCACCAACTGGTGGGAATCACTTTTCCGAGGTAAGACGCAACACGAATGCGGCGAAATCGAAGAGCGCCATGGAATGAATCTAGCACGGGCTGCTGCGTCGTCTCGCACAGTAGAGCACTACATCTGGTCAACATGTCCGAGTGCCAAGCGCCGGTTCTGGGGCAAGATGGAAGTGCCGCATATGGATTACAAGGCCAATGTCGACGCTCGCATCAAGTCCGAGCTCCCTCAACTTGCGGCTATAACAACATATCTGTACTTTGGGTATTATCCGCAAAACATGGCTTTCTTCCCCATGTGCAAGCCTATTGAATACGTAAGTTGTTCTGCAACCTCAGAATTGAAAGCTCGAGATACTGACATAGTAAACAGCCAGACACAGGCCGCTGGGTCCAAGCCTTCCCCACAAAACCAGATGCCAAAGTCCTCCTTGCCGGTGACATGAGCGTCAACCCCGGCATTTGGGTACGGCAAGTGCTGGCTACAGGGAGCAAAGCATTCGGCCGCTGCGCCAATGTTGCATTAGAAAAGTGGACATTCCAACAAATGGTAGACGTATGGTCCGAGGTGACAGGCAAAAACTGCGTCTATGCTGAGATCAGCTCAGAAACCGCTGCACAGCTGCACGGCCTGGTAGGCGCAGAGCTGTCATTGCAGTTCAAGTACGGCGAGGCGTGTGATCCGTGGGAGGTAACAGATGATTTCATCAGCCCCGAGGACCTCGGTATTGATCCCAACGAAGTCGTAGGATTCAGAGGAACAATTCAAGGACTGAAGGATGCGGGTTTCTGGGGTTGATGTCGGCTTGGCGGTCGACGGCCCGAGTATCGAAGCCACTTTCTTGTCCCTATTCTGTTACGAAAATGTCTTAAAAGAATACTCTTTTCCCCACATTTAGGCGTTCACGTCTGACCCATGTGTCTTAGATCCTGTGTGTCGTGACGTTCCTTTAGTGTAACTGATTTTAAGGCCTCCCGATACTACGTAGATGGCGCTAAGCCCGTCTCTGGTAGTGGTTCCGCTGATCGGGACACGGACTCTTATACGCAGCCGTTAGACTCGAGGGCGATTGGTACAGAGTCGGATAGTCAGCGTAGCGGAAAATCATATCCTAATGTTCTGTTACATCGGTCATATTAGTATGCCTCCGACCGATGAACCGATTCCTTACCGACGCACCGATTCCTCATCGCTTCCACTGTAGTTCAGCCACCAACGCTCATCTTCTTCACTCTGTCTGGAAGGTAGTTTGTGGGGTGACGGGCCGGCCCACAACTAGACTTCTAAAGCGTCTAGTTCATGGTACCGAGCACTAGAAATGACGCTCAACATATCTGCTAGTAGAGACCGTTCACAATACACTGGCGTTGGTGGCTGTACATGTGAAGATGCTGTGAATCCACATGTGGACCTCGCAGCTTGTGTAATGCGATGATTTTACCGTATACAGTTACTCTATGATATGTGTATTATTGCTGCAGAATGCTGCCAAGTTGCGAGAAGGTCGCTAGAACAGAATGTGCATGCGGGATTTTGTGTATGTGGTAGCATCGTCGGCTAGAAAGGCAGTGCCAAGTTGGAGCAGCAAAAGAACATATAAAGAGCATAAGTTCCGTTAACAAATTCTATTCACAGCACACGAAATCGTCAGATCAATTCAACAGACTCTCTTTACAACCGTCACCATGAAGTTCGCCGCTCAACTCTTCACCGTCGCTGCTCTCTTGGGCGCTACGCTCGCCGCTCCCGCCGGTATGCCATCCTTGTTGTCCAAACATATGCAGAATACTGTAGTCGAAGATTCACTAACACAACCCTTCAGCTGACTCCAACACTATTGAAGTTCGTGACGCGCTCACCAACGAGGTTATGGAGGGTATGGTACGTTGAGCCTTTACTCCCACTGACAGTAAAGCAACATCCAAGAACGCTACTGACTCCAATAGGCTATTGACAAGCGCC